TAGGGAGCTTCTAAGTTGAGTGGAGAAAACAGACAGCAATCAAATAAGCAACGTACCTTGGACCCTGAATTCTAGTACTGAGTTTAGCTGTCATGGCTGCCTCCTCTATTGCTGGCAGATTGTACTTAGTGGCAAAACCTGGAAATGAACTTTGTCGTGGTAAGATGAAGGAGTCACAATAGCACTTGAAAATTCTCAGAGAAAAAGCTTTTGCCAAGAAATGTTTCCTTTTAGGATCCAGTTAAGTGGATGCTTCTTTCTGATTGCAAGGCCTTTGAAAAAACATGCTTTGTGTGTGTAGTGTGCATGTGTAGGCATACAAACATGCTCTTATGTGTGTGAGCAGCATGAAAGTGGATTGAATACCAATTGTGCTCTAAAGGAGATAAGCAGCTAGCAGGCTTTTTAGGAGCTATAGAAAATTGGTTGAAACTAAGACAATAAACTTCTATTAAAAATAAGAAGTTTATAAGTAAACATAAAGGTAATTGAATCACTATAAATTTTCTATTGGGGCCCAAATGAATTCACCATTTATGTGAGTAAACAGTGTCTTCACTTGTCTTTTTAAGTTGCCATTAACTTCAGAACTGTGGTACATGTATTTTATTCTTTTTCCTTCTTGCTATTGGTTCTTCTTGTTGTTGAATACCATTGAATTGGTTCCAACACTTACGGACCTCATGTGACACAGGAAATCTACTCTAGAGGATTTCCTTAGCTGTATTCTGAAAGCTGTGTCACCGGCATTTTAAATACCAGCAGGGTCACCCATGGTGGACAGGTTTCAGATGAGCTTCCAGACAAAGATAGACTAGGAAGAAGGAGTGACAAACTACTTCCGAATATTTAGTTACTGAAAACCTTATGGATAGCAGAGAACCTCTGTCAGATATAGTGCCGGAAAATGAGCCCTTCAGGTTTGAACTCACTCAAAATGCAACTGAGGAAAAGCTGCCTCCTCAAAGTAGAGTTGACCTTGATGATGTGAATGGAGTAAAGCCCATCGGAAAAAAGCCCAC